GATCTCATTTTTTAGTAGCATGTTATTTAGCCCCTCTGCTCTCCCCCCCTCCCCCCCAGTTTTCTTCTTGTCATATATATACTTTATTTTGTTGAGGTATGTTTTATCTAGTTCCACTTTGCTGAATTACTTCCTACCATTATGATCCAAGAAGATGCTAAATATGATTTCAGTCTTCTTAAATTTATTTAGGTTTGTTTTGTGACCTAACATGTGGTATGTCTTAGAAAATGTTCAATGTGCACTTGAAAGGAATATATATTCTGCTTTTGGGTGAAATGTTCTAAAATATCAATTACCAAATATCTAATACTAGAGGCCCAGTACCCGAAATTTGTGCGCTTGTGGGGGAGAGAGGTCCCTTAGCCTGGCCTGCATCCTCTCGCAGGGAATGGGCCTGAGCCATCAGTTAGATATCCTTAACACTGTTGCGGAGGCAGGAGAGGCTCCCACCACCGCTGCTGTACTCGTCAGCTGTGAGCCCAGCTTCTGGCTGAGAGGCCCTCCCCCTGTGGGAGCACACTGACCACCAGGGAGCAGCTCCTGCACTGAGCATCTGCTCCCTGGTGGTCAGAGTGTATTATAGCGACTGGTCATTCCACTCTGGTCAATTTGCATATTATCCTTTTATTATATAGGATAATGTGTCATTTAAGGCTACTGTTTTCTTGTTGATTTTCTGTCTGTATTATCTATCCATTGATGTCAATGTGGTATTAAAGTCCCCTACAATGGTATCTTTCTGTCTCTACCTTTATATCGATTAATATTGCCTTTATATTGTATATTCAGGTGCTCCTACAGTTGGTGCTTCAATGTGTACAAGATTTATATTCTCTTTTTGATTGATCCATTTATCATTTTGAAATAACCTCTTTGTCTCTTGTTACAGCCACTGTTTTAAAGTCTTTGTCTGATATAAGTATTGCTACCCCAGACTTTTTTGGTTTTTATTTGCATAAAATATCTTTTTCCTTCCCTTTATATTCAGTCTGTGTGTGTCTTTTGATCTGAAATGGATCTCTTGTAGGCAGCATATGCATATGTCTTGTTTTTTGTTTTTTATTCATTCAACCATCCTAGGTCTTCAGGTTAAAGCATGTAGTCCATTTACATTTAAAATAATAATAATTAGTCACATCGGCAGGGCTAAGATAATTATTGATAGGCATGTAGTTACTGCCATTTTATTTTTTTCTGATTCTTTTTGTATTTCTTCTCTGTTCTTTTGTTATACTCTTATTCTCCTCTTTTATGTTGATGACTTTAGTAGTATTGTGTTTGTATTCCTTTCTCTTTCTATATTGTAGTTTTTTTAAATTTGTGGTTACTATGTGCTTCCTATATACCAAGTTATACTTATGACAGTCTGTTTTAAGTTAATGGTTACTTAAATTAGAAGACATTCTAAAGTCACTACAATTTTTCCTCCCTCCATATTTATTTTCATTATTATTTACTTCTTTTATGTGTGTTTGTAGTTATCTCTTAATTTATTATTGTAATTACACATGATCTTTCTACTTTTGTCTTTTAACTTTTGTACTACCTTTATAATTGGCTAAATAATTGATTAAAAATTTTTTTTTAATTTCAGAGAGGAAGGGAGAGAGAGATAGAAACATCAATAATGGGAAAGAATCATTGATCAGCTGCCTACTACATGGCCCCTACTGGGGATCAAGCCTACAACCTGGGCATGTGCCCTTGACTGGAATTGAACCTGGGACTCTTCAGTCTGCAGGCCGCTGCTCTATCTACTGAGCTAAACCAGCCAGGGCAATTAACTTTATTAAGTGTTTGCCTCTGTCAGTGAAAACTTAATTTTCTTATTTGCATTTCTAATCTTTTGTTATTTAAAGATGTCCCTCTAGCATCTATGATAATAAAAACATAATATACTAATTAGACCAGACAGCCGAACAACCTTCCGGACATCGTTCTGGATGAAGCTGCCATGGCAAGGGCCAAGGCACATACAGAGATGGTTAGGGGTGATCAGGCAGGCGAGTAGTTGGGGGTGTTCAGGCAGGCAGAGTGGCTAGGGGCAATCAGGCAGACAGACAGGCAAGCAGTTAGGAGCCAAGGTTCCAGATTATGAGAGGGTACAGTTAGGGCTGAAAGACTCTCTCTCCGTGGACAAATTTCATGTGCCCTCTAGTATGCTATAATACTGATTTAGTGGTGATGATATCCTTTAGCTTTTTCTTCTTTGGGACATATCTCTCCTTCAATTCTAAATGATACACTTGCCAGGTAGTTGTCAATCCTTACTTTTCATCATTTTTAATATTTTGTGCCAATCTCTTGATCTGCAGTTTCTGTTAAGAAATCAACCGACAATCTTATGGGAGCTCCCTTGCACATAAGTATTTTTTAAATTGATTTTAGAGAAAGAGGGAGGGAAGGAAGTTAGGGGAGAGACAGAGAGAGAGAGAGAGAGAGAGAGAGAGAGAGAGAGAGAGAGAGAGAGAGGGAGGGACGGACGGACGGGGGGGGAGATAGAGAGAAAGAATATCATCAATATGAGAGGGAAACATTGATCAGCTGCCCTACTTGTCATGGCTCTAAATTGAACCTGCAACCTTTTGGTATACAGGATGACGCTCCTACCAAATGAGAGCCACCTAGCCAGAGCTGTCTTTTTTGGTATAGCCATTCTGGTGAGTGTAAAGTGGTATCTCATTGTGGTTCTAAGTGCATTTCCCAACTAACTAATAATATTGAGAATCACACATACACAGAAAGAAATATTCCAACTCAAAAAGACAAATGTCCTAATTATATATTTATTTACTTTATTTATTCATTTATGGGGGCGGGGGGGGGAGAGGTGAGAGAGAAAACTGATCGACTGCCTCCGTAACCCCGGGTCAGACTGGGGATTGAACCTGCAACCTAGGTATGTGCCCTGAATGGGAATTGAATCCAAAGTCTTTTGGTGTATAGGACAACGCTGCAACCAACTGAGCCACACCTTCAAGGGCCAAATAACCTAATTATCAAATGGGCATTTCTCCAAAGAAGATATATAAATGGCCATAAAAAGATGCTCAACATAATTAGGCATCAGGGAATTATGCTCAACATAATTAGGCATCAAAACCGCAATGAGCTACTACTTCATAGCCACTACGATAACCTTGATTTTTTTCTTTAAGGAGGACTTAGAGAAATTGGAACCCTTATACTTTGCTGGTAGAAATGCAAAATGTGGACAACAGTTGGGTAGTTCCTCAAGCATAAAGTTACGATATGACCCAGTTATTTCACTCCTATGAAAATACCCAAGAGAATTGAAAACATATGTTACACAAAAAGCTATAAATGAATGTTCATAGCAAATTATTTATAGTAGCCAAAATGCAGAATTAATCTGAAGTCTGTTAACTGAAGAGTGGATAAACAAATTGTGGTAGATCCGTACAATGGGATATTATTCAGCCATAAAATGGAAGGGAATACTGATACCTGGTACAACATGAATGAATCTTGAAAACATGTCAAGTGAAAGGAATTACACAAAGAGGCCACATATTATATGATTCTATTGATTTGCAGTGTCTAGAATCTGCAAATCCATTGTATTATATGTTCTATTAATATAAAATATCTAGAACATGAAAGCCATTGGTTAGAAGTTGCCAGGAATTTGGGGTAGAGAGAACAGGAAATGACTACTAATGCATATGGTATTTATTTTTAGATGTGAAACCAATGTTCTGAAATTAGACAGTGATGGTTGCGCATCTTGTGAATATACTAAAAATTATTGAATTGTGCAATTTAAAATGATTTTTTGGCATGTGAATTATATCTTAACAGAAAACTCTTATCTACAGCTATTATACTAGTAAAATTAATGCTATTTTCACAGTTGATTAAAACTGTTATTTTATGATATACTAGAGGCCTGACACACGAAATTTGTGCAAGAGTAGGCCTTCACAGCTCCGGCTGACCTTGCAGCCCCGGCATAATCCAGAATGTCATCTGGATGGTTGCTTTGCTGTTCAGCCATTCGGTCAACTTGCATATTTCACTATTATTATTATAGATATTATGTTTAATCCAAAGAAGAATTCACAAGTATTTTGAAGGACTATGATACAGTGAGAATAGATTATTTCATGTGGAACTAAAGTGTTTGAAATGTGTTCATAGTTGTATTAGAATGCTGTTACAAAACTATGAATGTGAACTTTTATTTGATGTGTACTCTGAACTGTTATTTTAGAGTACAATATTAACACATTTGCATAAAGTTAAGTAATGAATTAATATTTAAGTAGTAATTTGTATTAACAGATTCCAGAAAACTATAAAACATTAAAAAGACCCAAATTTCTAAATGAGATGTCCTTGGCATCAACATAAATCTTTAAAATGCTTTGTGGAATAACCTCTCTTATCTATCCTCCACTTGTCCAGTTTGTTGGATTACCACTCTCTCCAATCCCTTTGTCTTAGGACATACTGAATGGTCATGGCTAGGAAATGACACTGAATTCTGGTGACGCATCTGTTTTCACTAAGTTGTATGCTAAGCAAAAGTCAGCTGTGTTTATTCCTAAATCTGTTTATGCCAGTAGTTGTAGTAGTCATAATTATGTAGTTTGACTAAATATTATATAAACTGATGAAATAAGAGTGCAAAAACATTAAATGTTTGGGAACATAGAAGCATATTACTTAATACTTTTAAATTGAGTGTAGGCGAAAAACTAAAAATATTGAGTAAAAAATTATTAAAATGTTGATGCATTCTGTGCCCAAAATCTTTTAAATTTTTGTTCTACTTTAAAGAAATGGAAACTAGAACTTATAGATAGTCGTGGTTTATGCCAAAGACCTGACACATTTGGAAAGAGAAAATCATGACCCTCTATTGGAAGACTGGCAAACAAATGGACATTATGCAGTTTAATTTAAAAGACAGTGTTTCAGAATTGAGTATCATTTTTAATGACTCTTCTTTAACTGAATTTTTTTCGGTTTAGCACCAAACTACTGGCATGGTTGCCTCAGATAATAGGATTTCTCCTCTGGTTAATTAGAAACCAAAGAACTGGATTACAAGGTAGGGGACTCATGGTCCCACCTCTGCTACTGAACTAGTCACAATAATTTAAACTTTGATTTTTTTTCATGTATTTTGCAATACTTTTGAATTTAGCAAAATAGTTTTGTTTACATTTTAGTGATTCCTAACATCAAAAAGAGTAAAGAGTTAGAAAACTTAATTCCCTCTTTTTAGAATGCCTTTCTCTTCTCCTTTCTCTCTTTGTTTCCTTTTCCCATTCTCCTTTCTTCCCTGCCTTAAAGAATTGGGAAATTGGAGTACAGTATACTTATTATCTTGTTAAATAAAACATTTATGCCTTAACTGGTTTGGCTCAGTGAGTAGAGCATTGGCCTGCGGACTGAAGGCTCCCAGTTTCACTTCCAGTCAGGGCGCATGCCTGGGCTGTGGCTCCATCCCCAGTGCGGATGTGCAGGAGGCAGCCAATCAGTGATTCTCTCTTGTCACTGATGTTTCTATTTCTCTCTCCCTCTTTCTTCCTCTCTGAAATAAATAAATACATATATATATATATATATATATATATATATATATATATATAACACATTTAATATGTTTACAAATATTATTAGCATTTAAATCAAATGCTGATTTGTGGTTCAACAAAATTAGTTTCTTCTTGACCAAGTAGTTGCTAAATATGGGAATCATCTTAGCTTAAAATTAATTATCCAATCAGTTCTTACTCTCTGAGAATCATTCACTTTTAGTAAACTTGGAAAATGTAATTGTTCAAGCTGTTTAAAGACTTGGGTTTGGAGAACTAATAAAATTTTCTAGTTCTTTATATCTTTTTTATGGCAATTTAAAAGTCACATGTGTTTTAAATTTTGCTAATTCAAATTTTTTTTGAATTGTGTTTACTTAAGTATTAGTTGTAGTACTTAAGAATGCATCATTTTTTAAGATGTTAAGTATGTAATTTGTTCCATGTTATTTTCATTTGAGACAAATTTCCAATAAACAAGTTAAAAAATAAATCATCTCACTGGCATTTTTAGAACTATACCTGCCACTTCAAGCATAGAATAGTTATGTAACTTTTCCTATATAGTGTATTCTCAGAATTTGGTATTCTTATAACATTTTTGCTCTGTATTTTATGGTGATATATAAAAATCCAACTGCTACAAATAAAAACCCTGCTTAGAAGTTGTTTATTTAAAACACTTTTACCTGATGTCAAAAATGTTCTTTTTTATTTAGTACATCTATGACTGTAGATTTCATTTTTTTTTTTTTCTGGTCAGGAGTTTAATTAAAGTTAGTTATACTGTGAGAGTTTTCTAAAGCATAATAAGGAGTGGGTTTCCTTCATCTGCCACGAAGCAAGCATGTTCTACTAACTCCTGTTAAGCACTAATGTTAGGTTATAATTGCCTAATTGATGTGGTCTGGACCTCCAAGAGATACAGGGATATGATTGAATTGTCATTGGAACCCTAGTGCCCATCCCAGTGCCTAATGCTCTGGGCCTTCAATGTGAATGTTAAAAAAAAAAAGTATAAATGGATCTTTTCAAAGCTTTATCTTCCTCTTTCTCACGACTCTCCCCTCCCCCAAATATTTCTGTCCCTCACAATTATTTGCTCCTACTTATTGACATTTTTGGCACATAATTATTGTGTTATTGTTAAAGAATATGGGCTCTAAAGTTGGGAATCCTGGCTTTGATTTTTCAAAGTTAATCTCTCAAATTTGTTTAATTTTTCCAAGCCTTAGTTTTCTCATCTGTAAAATGAGAATAATACCTACCCACAGAGAGGTCATTAAGAAAAAAGTAAGGAATGCAAAGATAAGGCTTAGTGCCAAGCTTAATAGAAATGTAGTAAATATTCTATCCTTTTCTTATTTTCACATTTTAAGTTATGAAACTGAGTCCCTGAGAGGTTAAGTATTTTTCCAAAAATTAAATCTCCCTATCTCTAGCCACCCATCTTTTTAGAGCTCCCTCCAAAGGTCCTGTAGATTCTCAGTTTACTTTCATCTTCCCTACTACTCATCCCAGCTTTTACAACTGCCAAATCTAAAAGCCTCCACCACCCTCAATTCTTTATTTTCCTTTACCTTTCAAATTAGCCAGTCATCAAGCCTTGATACTTTGTCTCTTATATGTTAATTGGAATTCATTCCCTATTCTGCATTTCTACCATCTTAGTCCTTCAGCATTTTAGCAAGAGATTTTACTAGTTACTTACCTCTGTCAGAATTACCTTTCTAAAATACCAGTCTGATCACATAGAGTCATATTACTTCACAGTTATGCTTTAATTTACCACACCAGCTTGTCTTCTCCCCCCACCCCCAATGCCATGCCCTTTCTACACTGGTCCCATCAAACCTTTGCAATAACTATTCATACCACTATACTTGGATGAGAAAGATTTCTGTACCTTCCAACTTCTATTTACCCTACAAGACTTTCCTAGTTTACCCAAATAAAATTAGGAATTTAATTCTTAGGTTCCTGTACCACTACATACCTACTTATATTCTGTTATTTTTTACACATGATGTAATAGTTTGCTACTGACTTCTCTTCCCACTCATTGGACAGATGACTTACTTAGTCTCTATAAAATAGGGGGTGGGTCTCACTGGATTAATTCATCTCAACCTGGCTACACATTAGTATCACTCTATCAAGACCAATTCTATCAAAATTTTTGTAGATCCTCCCCCTTGCCCTAACCTCGTGGTCAGCAGACTGCGGCTCTTGAGCCACATGCAACCCTTTGGCCCTTTGGTCCCTTGAGTGTGGCTCTTCCACAAAATACCATGGCCTGGGCGAGTCTATTTTGAAGAAGTGGCGTTAGAAGAAGTTTAAGTTTAAAAAATTTAGCTCTCAAAAGAAATTTCCATCAATGTACTGTTGATATTTGGCTCTGTTGACTAATGAGTTTGCCAACCACTTCCCTAACCCATGAGGAATTTTTCCCCCTCAAATTATTGTATTATCATATTGTGAGGAAGGTTAAGAATTTCTTATACTAGACCTTGGTTCTGAGATACCTTTCAGTTAAGATATTGTTATTCTATGAATTTCACAGTCTTTTGAAATACAAGAACATTCAAGTAATCAAACCAGAAATTAAATTAGAAAAAAAATATTGGAACAAAAGCAAATCTGTATTACATATATATTATTATAACAGTGTTAAAAATTTTTACTTTGAATTCTAAATATAAAGTCAAGAAATCAATCATATACATGGTTAATTGACTTGCAACACAGGTGCCAAGGCAGTTTAGTGAAGAAAAGATTACCTTTTCAACAAATGGTGCTGAGACAATCAAATGTCCTTATGCCAAAAAAGAAAACTTTGATTCAGATTTCACAACATATATAAAAATTAACCCAAAGTGGATCATAGACTTAAATGTAAAACAAAAACTATAAAATATCTAAAACAAAACATGAGATAATCTTTGTGACCTTGGGTTAATCAAAGATTTCCTAGCTTCAACACTAAAAACATGTTTCATAAAAGAAAAAATTGATAAATTGGACTTCATCAAATTCAAAGCATCTGTTCTTTACAAAACACTTTTAAGAGCATAGTAAGATAAAACATTGACTTGGAGAAAATATTTGCAAATTACATACCTGATAAAGGACTTCTGTTCAGGATATATAAAGAACTTTTAAAATGTTAAAATAAACCATCTAATTTTAAAAATGAAAATAAAATAACTAAAAGATTGATCATAATCAAATGTTGGTTAGAAAGTGAAACAAATGAACTCTCATTCACTGCTGGTAAGAGTGCAAAATGGCACAACCACTTTGAAAAACAGTTTATCAGTTGCTTTAAAATCTGAACGTGTAGCTGCCATACGATTCAGCCCTTATATTCCTAGGTATTTGCCCAGGATAAGGTTAAGTGTTGCCCAAGAGAAGTGAAAGCATGTATCCATATAAATGCTTATACAAGAGCTCTAGCCATTTTGGCTCAGTAGATAGTGCATTGGTCCTTGGACTGAAGGGTTCCAGGTTCAATTTTGGTCAAGGGCATATATCTCCCCTCTGTCTTTCTTCTTTCCTTCCACACTCTCTAAAAAAAAAAAAAAAAAAAAAAAAAAAAAAAAAAAAATCAATGGAAAAAAAAATACTTGTAATGTTTATAGCGTCTTTATTTTCGGTAAAAACTATAAGAAACTCAATGTCCACCTAAAGATGAATGAATAAACAAAATGGTATGAAATGCTACTAAGCAGGCAACAGTTTTATCAAATGTTTTGCCACTGAATGATATGGACCGCCATCCTTCTAGCTTTCAGTAACAGTTCTTTTGCTGCCCACTGCTCAGTTCCTAAGCCAGTGTCACATATTTAGGGTTTTTATTATGTCTTTGATGCTTCAGTTATTGATTTCTCTGTCAATCAGGTTAATTTGAGGCAGTTAAGATAGATTTTCAAGCCAGACTGCTTTTTTATTTTCATAAGCTTTAGTTGGCTTTTGTCTCATTTTAGGATTCATTGAAATCTTTAAGTAATGATATCAATAACTATTAACTTTTCTTTATACTGTCCAAAATATCATACAAAATACTTTCAACTTTTACTTATAGTTGTTAGTTGGGAAATAGGTTGTTCCTGAGTGTTAGAAGGAATCTGAGGTCCAGAGAGGGCAACTGTCACATAGCCATGAAACTAAACTAGTACTAAGGAATCTCATTTTAATACTTTTGTGCATATTGAAGAAAAATAAATGTACCACATACTTATACATTCTTTATTTTGACAGTCTCTTCAACAGACCACATTTAAGAGGTATCTCGGACTACCCATTGCCAGTGGCTGGAACACAATGGATCACCCAGGGGCACTAGACACTGAGGATGAATTGGGACCTTTAGCCCATCTTGCTCCAAGTCCTCAAAGTGAAGCTGTTGCCCACGAATTCCAAGAACTCTCCTTGCAGTCCAGTCAGTACTTACCCCCTCTGAACGAAAGGAAGAATGGTGAGTGCTTCAGCATGTGCAGTGGGGACTTTGATTTGAGTTAGACTTTGTGAGCCCAGTTTATTTCTCTTTGGTAGTAATTTTGTTGTTGTTGTTGCCAGTTATATTTGGCAGTTTGTTACACAGGAGAGAACCTCATCGGGTTACTTCCTCGTTTTGAGTAACATGCAACTTCAATTCAATTCTTCCATTATTTCCCTTTATCGTTAGTAGCAGCATTCTCTTTGGCAATGAGCTTTAAATGCAACCATTTTAGCACCAGCAGAACATTTCATGCTAGAATGGGATTAGAGAGTAGCTTTCTGTCCTGATTCTAGGGAAGATAGATTTGTGGAATTATATAGGTTCTCCTCCCAATTTCCCCATCTCCAATGTGTTGCACCTTAATTTCAGAATTGGCAAAATTTGCACTATCTTAATGATCACTAAGAAAATAAGAATGTTTTATTTGAGTACTTTTATTTTAATGAGGAATAGATAAGGTCATATTTTCAGTCTTTGGCTGGCTCGTCATTGTATACAAAATGAATAATTTCTATTAATTTGTTATCTCTTCAGGAAATTTTCATTGATTACAGAGACATCTCAGAGTTTCCAAAAACACAATAGTGCCAATTTTTAACATAAATTAATAGAAATGATATAACTTATTCTTAATAACTTAAAACATAAAACTAGCAAATATAAACTATTAGCATTTGAAAACACACTAAATAAGTATGCATGTTAAAAATGCGTGATTAAGAATTTCAACTGGATTTTACTGTGCTTTCCTCAGTTCTGATGAGTGTTACATTCGCAAATATATTTTTTTAATTTCACTTTTAAAAGCCAGAAGAAATAAAACTGGTGTCCTATACAACACTTCCTTGTTAATTATTTTCTGGGTTCTTAGTATTTCCCAATTCTTTTCATTATTGACCTTATCTTATTCAGAAAAATGGATAAAAGATATACACTACTGTGCTTAGTTTTTTTAGTGTATGTCTTTGGAGTATAACTTGTTCTCCCTTCGATATGATATGTGATACTTGTTGTTAGGCACAACTCTTGTGCAGTTTAATTGGTATATAGCAATATTTTGGCTGGGGTATTCTCAAAGCCTTCATGAGGCTGTGGATGATGTATGGATGATGGCTTTAGAACCTTCCATCAATTAAAAGCCTAGCTTTATCTTAGTGTCTGAGAGAGAATAACCACATTATCTGAAACGTGACTAAATGTGATCAAATTTACACAGTACACTTGGATCAGTCTAATAATGTTCAAATTATTACCTGAAAAACAAGAGGGTTGATTGGTTATAAAATTACCCTAATATACAATTGCTCAAGAAGATGGTCATATGTAAGGTCATATGTAACAGAGGAGATAACTGAAGTGTGTGAAATAAGTTTATATTCTGTGAAGATTTACTTGATTCAACTCACCACATTATCTTATAAGAATGTTCTCTTGAATACGTATGCCTGAATATAAGGTAAACTCCCCTTATAAACTTTTGATGAAATGGTAAGTTTTAGTTTTTTAATTTAGTTACATATATAATTTAATTGACATTTTATGCAGCAGTTCAATAATATAAAAGAATTGTTTTATCCATGCTTACATTTTATAAAACCATCTTGCTCAAACTCTATCCATGAATCTTGGTGGTGTTTTTATCATCAGTAGAACCTCTTTGCATCATCCATGTAACATGAAAATCCAGGGTGCATCTTCATTTCTGTCTCTTTTGTTTAAATTACAGCAGTTGTTGAATGCATGCATGATCTGACACTGAATATTTTATGTATAAACCATTTGCAAAACAGTGGGGCTGCGGTTTTTTGTTTTATTTTTTTGTATGTGTCTCATAATTATATATTCATGATCTCTCTAACACAGTGGTTCTCAACCTTTCTAATGCTGCGACCCTTTAATACAGTTCCTCATGTTGTGGTGATCCCCAACCATAAAATTATTTTTGTTGCTACTTCATAACTGTAATTTTGTTACTGATAATGAATGGTAATGCAAATATCTGTGTTTTCCGATGATCTTAGGCTCTACAGCAGCAGTTCTCAACAGAACTGCTAGCAGGGTCACCGAAGACCATCCGAAAATACAGATATATACATAACGATTCATAACAGTAGCAAAATTACAGTTATGAAGTAGCAATGAAAATAATTTTATGGTTGGGGGTCACCACAAAATAAGGAACTGTATTAAAGAGTCGCAGCATTAGAAAGGTTGAGAACCGCTGCAACATAATTACTCAAGTTTGATCTGTGATTTACATTTTATGGGGCTGTAGTTTCTGTTTCTGAATTTAACCTCCTCCCCCTTTTTGTTAGAAGTAATGCATTCACAGAGTTTAAAAAGTAAAGGGTACAAATTGGTAAACAATGAAAAATAGGTCACCTTAAGCCACCAGTTGCTTCCCCTCAATTAGCAACTGTTAACTTGTGTTTTTTTTCTGAGAAAATGCTATTTGTTTACTTTTTTTTAAAGCAGTTTTGAAAGTCTTTGTAACAACATCCAACACTTTTAATTTTAAGGTTATAACTTAGGAATAATTAATGTGTTGATTTCCCCCCCACTTTTTAAAAAAAATTCTATTAAGGTATTTCTGTTAACATCCTAAAGTCAATTTCTAATGAAGTCGATTAAAAACATTTTTTGAAATGAATTTGTTGGGGTGACATCTATATAATAAAAGGCTAATGTGCAAATTGACTGGCGGAATGACCGGTCACTATGACATCCACTGACCACCAGGAGGCAGACTCTCAATGCAGGAACTGCCCCCTGGTGATCAGTGTACTCCCACAGGGGGAGCGCTGCTCAGCCAGAAGCCGGGCTCACAGCTGGCAAGCACAGTGTCAGTGATGGGAACATCTCCTGCCTCCATGGCAGTCAGACATTCCCCAAGGGCTCCTGGACTACAAGAGGGCACAGGCAGGGCTGAAGGATCACCATCCTGAGTGCACGAATTTCGTGCACCAGTCCTCTAGTTGGTTAATAAAATTGTTTAGGCTTCACATGTGCAGTTCTGTGATACATCATCTGTATACTAAAGGCCCAGCATGTGAAATCACGCAAGACCCAGACCCACCATGCCAGCGGGACCCCAGACCCACCCTGCACGAGCCACAGGCCCGGCACAAGCTCCACCAGCCCTGTGTAAGCCCCGCAAGCCCGACCTGCCCCACCACTTCGAGTGGCTCATGGGCCGGATGGGGGTCGTGGACCGGATGAGGGGGACCAAAAGGTACTCCAGCATCTCCTGGTGACCTGTTGTTCGGTCATTTCATGTTAGGACGTGACGGCCACAGGCCTTTTATAATACAGATTGCATTGTGTATTTACCATTCAAAGTCAGATCTCCTTCCGTCACCATATATTTGACCCCTTTAACTACCTCTTCCCCAATCCGCTTTCACTCTGGTAAGCACCATACTGCTGTCTGTGTCTATGAGTTTTTGTTTGTTTATTTGTCTTATTTGTTCATTTGTTACTTTCATTTTTATATCTCGTATATGAGTGAAATCATGTGATTCATGACTTTTTTTGTCTGACTTATTTTGCATAGCATGATAGTCTCAAGATCCATCATGTTGTCACAAATGGCATCTCTTATGGCTGAGTATTATCACATTGTATAAATGTACAACATCTTCTTTATTCAATCATCTATAGGACACTTCAGTTGTTTCCGTGTGTTGAAATATGCTACAATGAATAATGCTGCAATGAACATAGGGTTATATATACCTTTACAAATAAATGTTTTACTCTTTTTGTAATTTTTTAGGAACCTCCATATTGTTCTCCAGAGCTAATGCATTCTTCTCAAATACTTTTTTGTTTAATATTAAGTAAATGAAAGAACATCTTATGAGATACTATGTAAGGACTCAAATATGAGAGAATCTCCTTTTTTCTAACAACTGATTTCAGGAAGTTAAAATACTTACCTTATATTTAGGCATACAGTACTTTTAGGTTTATGATACGTTAACCTAATTTGTGTATATATTACAAAGCATAAATGGGATTCTTGCATAGCTCTCAGAAGTCTGTTTTTAATGCAGTTAGGTAAGTACAGTAGAGCCACATCAAATAACATATAGATAGAAGAACTGTAACTTTTTTTACCTTAATGAATTTTTCAAGTTTATTCTTCACTTTTTATGTCTTCTTAATGCTTTGATATGATAAATCATATCATATTCAAAATGTAGGCATTAGCCTAAAAATTAATTAATACAAAATATGGTTTAAATATTTTGAAATAATCAGATTAGATATTTTCTTAATGGTTGTATTTTATTGTTATTCCTAAGTATTTGAATTTCACTTGTTAGGATTATTTTCTTTTCTGTTGGAGAAAAATGACAACATTTCAATTTGGGCTTAGTATGTAGGATTATGTCACCAAAAATTTTATAAATAAACTTAACAAGGAATATGAACTTGACATTTAAGTAAGATTCCAGGATCTCCCCTTATTTTTTTTTATTAATATTTATGTTGGCAGTGTTAGTGTAGTGGCAGAATATTCCCACTACTGGTCTAAACATAAAAGATGTTTAGTAAAGATAAACTAGGGTTTCCTTTACCCTTGAACGTGGCCAAAATAATTCTAGTTAGTGACACTTCAAAAGTAAGGCAACCAGCCGAAACCAGTTTGGCTCAATGGATAGAGTGTCGGCTTGGGGACTGAAGGGTCCCAGGTTTGATTCCGGTCAAGGGCATGTACCTTGGTTGCGGGCAAATCCCCAGTAGGGGGTGTGCAAGAGGCAGCTGATCGATGACTCTCATCGATGTTTCTAACTCTCTGTCTCTCTCCCTTCCTCTCTGTACAAAATCAATAAAATATATTTTTTAAAAAAAAGTAAGGCAACCATTTAGGCAGTTAATAACTTACCAACAAGTGACTCCTTCATAAAAGAAAGTGGATATACAGAAATGCATAAATAGATCTACTTTTACTAAGAGTGCGTAGACATGGATGTTGAGCTTTGTTTTGACAGTTTATACACAGACTAATTTTCATGTTTCAATATTAATACATTGCAGACAAGTCATGAGAATTCTCATGTTTTCTTTTCTAAAGCTTGTGGCCAATCATATTTTAATAGATATTAGCTTGTAAGAACATGTTATAAGTAACTTCAAAATGCAATTGGGTACTTAATTTTAAAGCATGCCTTTAACATTTATGTAAAACTTTTTGTCTTCATTCAATAGAAACTTATCTGGTCACTGGGTAAAGCTATCAATAAACTACTGGTCCGCAATGTGTTAACATTCCTTCAGATGAGGGAAATCAGTTAGGGGGATAGTTAGTTCTTTTATTGTTTAAACAGGAAAAGCTCAGATGCTATGGGTTGAGTGTAGCTTTATAAAAGGAGGGAAAGGCAAAGTTGATGGAGACAATATACCTGAAAGAGCTGCGGCTCCTTTGCCAGGATCCTCGCCTAGATGAGACCATGAAGAAGCAGCTTTTCATTCATGAGGCCATTTGCCAGACTAATCTAGGTTGGTTGGTGAATTAAGCTTTTAAGTCATGGCCAGCAGTATCACATAGTAAGAAGATATAGATTCCCTTTTAATAAAACTTTATTATTTCAGTACTTCTTGATATGTCTCTGAAGATGAGGTTCAATCATGTTAACATGGCCACAGATATACCACAGGCCAGCTGTCGGTTATGTTAAGTCCATGGAAAATAAGCATCTGCCACCTTCCTCTCCCTAAATTAACCAGCTTTTTAAAACTGTATTTATTATGAAATAGCATGTTTTAGGCTACTGTGAAGAGGAGAGACTGTTTGTTACTCTTGTTTTAAATTTTGGTATTACCAGTTACTACAGTTGTTAGATTTTTGAACTTATAGTCCCATGTCAAAATTTTTTTCCTAAGATTTTCATCCATTAAATGAATCACTCTGAATAATTTTAGACAATATCTTGTTCTTAGTAGAAAGAAAATAATTTATTCAAAAGTGTGTTGCACAAGGAAATACATGGTGGCTCCAATATGGGACTAATACCTTTGCAAACAGTCAGATGAACTCTGCCTCGCCCAGCCAAAAAAAACTGCCTGCCTTGTACCATGGAAAATAAATGTTTAGAGTGGGTCTTTTCTTTTGGTTTTACTTTGAGAACATTTTTCCACTCCTCATTAACCTGTTAGGCTTACAGACAGTCCACAGGTGATGCGCATTTGTCTTAAGCACAATCCTGTTTCTTAGAATGTACAGGAGTTGTATGGCCTAATGGACATAGGTGAGGGAAAGAGAGGATATACCTATTTTTCTCCGGAGCAGACAACCAGGCATAAAATTCTCATGTATGTGTATAAAAGCCTAAATGACTGTTACCACCAAAAGACCCAAATCATTGGTCGACCAGGTGGTAGCTATGATGTGCACTGACCCAGACCTTGTTGCTGGGGCTCTGACAGCCCCAAATCTGGTTCACCCGCACCCCGGACCCAGACAGGAGGGAGGAGGGAGCCTGATTCCTTGAGGAATCATCCGTGCCTTAGCTTGCTGTTTTGGCCAACCTCCTGTAATCCCTCCTCCAGCAGGCTGTGCCCGCCCCCCTCTCCCCCATCGGCCCTGATCGCCAGCCAGGTCAAGGGACCCTACCCTTACACACACTCGTGCCCCAGGCCTCTAGTAGTGTCATAAATGGGCGAGAAATAATTAGAGGCTAAAAAGTCAAGATAGGGAACTATGGATTCTTTCTTTCCCTTTCTACAACTGGAGGTAATAGAAATGAATAATTTTCTATAAAATTCTCTTGTCATTGGCTTTACTATTAACATATTTAGAATCTTGAATATTTAAAATAATTCTCAAAGATATTAATAAATATTCTGATACATTTAAGTGATTTCTTTTCCTGTTTTCAGGAGTTACTTAAGAATATTTATACTTAGAAGATAAATATATTTAAATATTTTCTGTAGTTCGTTTTGAATGTTTTTTGAAAATTAGGCTTTAGGACTTATACTAACCACAAGTATAAAGTTTAAAAGCCAACTATGAACTTCCTGAGAACTGCAAAATGAAGTTCTCAATTAATTATAGCAGCTCTCATACTTTTTGTTAGTGGCAATCTATTGATCCTTTCCAAAGGAAAAAGCCAAATAAGTAGCTTAAAGGTGAGGTGCTGCCTTTCAAAATGGACTTTATAAAGCCAGCTATTAAATAGCATGTTTTATTTCACAATGTCAATAAGTACCTGTAACCCTGTCCACCTTCTCTCACCTACTCTGGGTTTCTTATGTAGGTAGTTTTATTGTTACTGAGGATTTAGTTTGCTGCATGCTGAACACACCCAAGCAGTAAGTGTGTGTGATGAGGGATTGGGGGGAGGGGTGGGGGGGGCATTAATTTACAGCCTGCCCTTTGTAGCTGGCATGTTCAGAACACTAACATAGGTGTGTTTTGGTTATCACTGAGAGGGTAGAGGAAGCTTACAGCTTCAAAAGTGCATCAGCAAGACAATAGGCCCTAGTTATGTAATACCCTAAAGCCTCATTTTGAGTTACTTATTCAGTCTTTAAACTGTGTACTCTTGCAGAAATAACCTTAGAAAGTCAGCAATTAACATTTATATTAAAAGTAAGATTTAGAACATAATAATTAGCAGTTTAATCCAACATGAGACAACATTATCTTAAACTTCTAAAAATGTTTGCCTGAAAATTATACGAAGCTTTTTTTAGAGTTACCAGTCTTCTGTTTCTCAGAAAGCAATTTTAAAAGATAACATACAAAATATAAATGATTAGTTAATAAATATTACTCAACTACAATCCCCTAGCTCCTTAGACATTTTAGGGCTACTTGGAATTGAATAATTAATTTATAGTTGAATAATTGAATCAGACCTTGTGCTGAGCCAAGAGACTTTGTTAAAATTAAGTTAGTGCTTTTTTTACTTATGTCAGCCATCTAACTTAACCCCAATCACCTTTTCTAGCAAAAAGGAAGAGAAAGGATAGATATAGGGCATGTACTGGGGGAAAAAGTGATCCATGATTATTTTTCTTTCTTTGTTATTTTATTTTAAGACATCAGTAATAAAGTATTATTATGACGGAAAGCAACAAGACAAATATGTTGGAATAACAAATGTATTGGAATTTTCTCTTGGTTTTGTAGTTAATAATCACCCACACTAATGAGTAAATATCATAATCAATGTTTTTCTAACTCCTTTAAATAACCCATATTGTTGACTACCCTCACCTGCTGCCCTCACTATTATTAACAGGAAGTATAGTCTTTTGGGAGTCAGGACTCCAGTCTCCTCTGCTGACTCAGTCTGTGAGCATGGGTAAGTCTCAGAAGCTCTCTGTGTCACGGTATGCTTATTGTAATACCCATGTGGTAGCTTTCAGCCCATGTGTCTTTTTCTGGCTGCCCTCCCTCATTGCATCATGTGTTCTTATATCGCATTATCACTTGCCTTGTGCTATCCATCGGGCAGCAGAAACAGAAAGAGGATAACTTCCATCTCAGTTAACCAATGGAATTTTCCATAGGTAGGAATTAGCAATGTTGCTATTTAATACATTCCTCACAGATATATTATTAAACATACATGCCAGCTCACACAATTAGTCAGACATTCCCCCATATTGAAAAGAGAAATTGACTAAAATTGTGTTATTCTAAAAAATAATGTATCTAGCCCTAACCAGTTTGGCTCAGTGGATAGAGTGTTGGCCTGCGATCTGAAGGGTCCCAGGTTTGATTCCAGTCAAGGGCATGTACCTTGGTTGTGGGCACATCCCCAGTAGGGAGTGTGCAGGAGGCAGCTGACCAATGTTTCTCTCTCATTGATGTTTCTAACGATCTCTCTTCCTTCCTCTCTGTAAAAAAATCAATAAAACATTTTAAAAAAAATAATAATAATGTATCTAATTTAGAATATGCCATATCTTCCTATTCATGGTTTTCAAGGGTTGGCAGGATTGTGTTAACATTTTTATAATAGCATTAGATTATCAGTTTAAAGACAGTATTTTAGCTTCTTTTTTTTTAAGCTCAAATTATTCATTTAATTTTTGGTCATTTATGTTATTGCTTTCATTAAGAAATGTTAATATTTGGATGTCTGTTTTACCAACTTAAATTTTTGACATATGACCTCTCTGTTTAATAAAGATATAACAAGAAAAGCAATTGCTTCTTGTAGGCTAAGTTTAAGAACTAACTAATGTTAGAATTAGTCAGCACTCTATGGCCACAAAATAGGAGACCTTCTTTGACAGAAGCCTAGATTCCAACAGAGCAGTTAAGAAGTTTATCAATTGGACTACTTAATCAAACCACATCAGGTCCTATATAAAAGAAAAGTTTACATATCAGAATATTCAATTCTCCCAAAGTATTAAAAAAAAATTCAAGAGTAGAAAAAAAATTATTGAATGATCATGTGTCAGTTACCTTAAAATAATTCTTAGATTTTAAGCCTCTAGTATAATATTGGCAATTTAAAATTTAGAATAGTCTCATAAAATTGTTGAACACATAGATCTTTGAAAGTAATTCCCTCAACTGTATACAAAAAATTAATTTAGAGACAATTCTTACCAATAACTGAGAGCAAGGCAAACCTAGTTTTAAAGAGAGCTGCAGAGTCAAGCTTAGGGACTGTTCCATCGCTCTAGATATGTGGTATCAGGCCACACAGATCCTGCCTCTCATCTATAAATGGGAATCATTAGATGTACCACATAGGTTATTGAGAGGGGGGGCTGTTAATGAAATAAAGCATTTATATTAATATTAAGTAGCACATCACTATTCCATGTTCCAGTTAGTCAGCATTACATGCTTGGTGGAAATGTACCATGAAGTGGCACAGTGAGGGAGAACATCAACTCTGGAGCCACCCTGTGTGAGTCTGGCTCCTAGCTAAAACATCACTACTTATGTGAGTTTAGAAAAATGAAATTTATTTTCTTTGCCTCGATTCTTCATCTGCAAAACAGGGATCATACTAATACCTGCCATGGGATTAAATGAGTTCATACAAGTCGAGTACTGAGGACAGTATGGGCATACATTTAGCACACTATAACTTTTTTATTAGTATGTATGTTTTGAAAATGCAACATTTCAATTCATACTAAGTGAATATAGTTCTTCAGGGTTCCACCGTGGTGTTTTGTAACTTAGTGTTTTTTTCAATAATCCTTGTAATTTTGTCCCCATCTTCCACAAGTTTTTATTTTTTAAGACGTCAGAATGACATAATTTCTTAATGTCTCACTGTGTGCCTTCATAACATTTGAAGAGCAACTTTTCTGATGAGAGCTGAGAAGGCAAATGTAGTAGGCACTGATTTCCCATAAAGTTCGTCTTTCTTGTTGGTACTGCCAGTTCCCACAATCTTAGCATTCCCTGGGCATCAGTCAGTGTCTACAAGGAATGATTTTCAAATATTAAAGCATGTGAAAAGACAAACAGGCCAAAACTCAGAGCTCTCTAGGGACTATGACCTCTAAAACAGACTCCGTTCTGACATTTTCACAGGCTGCTTGAGGGAATTCCAGCAAGGTCATTCCATTTGGTAAACTCCTAAACAAACGCTCTGTCATCAAGAATTGATTTGCAGATTTTTCTCCTTATGTACTTGTTCTGCAGAGATTAGCATAATAGATATGGTTGCTGAGACTCTTTTAAGACATTTGATGTATATGATAAGTACTGTACTAAAGACTTTTGGTATTTTGAAGTGATAAAACAGTTAATTTGTCATGTTGAAAGAAATTTCTTGCTATGAGTTGTCTTTTAAATGACTTCTGTTTTTGATTCCAGGAAATCTATATATAACCATATTGCTAAATTAAAATTTTCATTATTAACACAACTATTTAACAAAGAAATAAACTAAATTCAGAAACAATTTTTTACAAAACAAGCATACATGCAAATATGATTACTTGTCTCACAGTGAGCTTTGGAATATATAAAAATTGTTCTAGTGTGGTAGGATCTGTGAAATCTTAGTATGATGGCAGTTGTTTAGATGAGGCTTTATGGTTACTGGGGTGGAGTCAGATCTATAAGTTGTTTTTAATTAATCTGTATAGTCTAAACTATTTGACTATTATTATATAATCTTTTTTTTTTTTTTTTAAGAATATACTCCTAAAAATAAATGAGAAGGTCAGAACCCAAGAACTTTAGGGCCTAGACAACTTAAGGAAATGGGTAATTAGGACTTATTTGGTTTATAGTTGGCCTTAAATGCTGCAGCCTCATGGTTATCTGAAGTCTGTGAGTTGCATGTATGAAGTTCCAGAGATGAATACCATTCCTCGTTTGAAGGATTGGGTTTATTGGGGAATTTTGTATGGTTTGCTTCCTTCTTTGCACGTTTCCTTTCAATGAGTTAATCCTGTGGATGAATGTGCAAAATTTTAGCTATTGGAAGAGTCCTTACACAGTGAAAAATTTCTTATGATTTGATATCTCATTGTAGGATTATAATATGTTTTGGTCAAATTTAAAAATCAGACACAGACAAGTAAATTGATATATGATCCCAACCAAGCCTCTCAAAATTAGTAGTAAAAATAAAACTCATTTTATTATATTTATAATCTAATAACTTGTCAGAATCCCAGAATATTTCAGAGTCTCCTAGTAAAATAAAATGGCAACAAATATGAAATAATAAGTTGCTTAGTAATTGATTGCATATAGTTATTTAATGTGCTAAAATTGTGTGGCTCTTGTTTGATATAAAAATATAATGAAAAATATGAGCAAGTATTACTCTTCTAATAGTATATTTTTCTAACATAGATTTTTCTATCTTTGTCTATTTCTGTTAGCTAGTCTCTTCATTTTTCAAATAAATGGAATCTGGTTAAATAGCAACCAGCTGAAAAATTAGTGAAATCTCTGGTTACACAATTGTGTGCTTATTTATTTGTGCATAGAAGTAGAGCAGCTGCTTGATTGATTGCTGAATGCCTTCTGAACACTCAATAGAAAGAAAATGCTTACACCTTCAAAAGGTTGAAGATTTTATTTGGACACCCAAATATTATAAATTTGTAGAATCTTATAGATAAAGGAATATAAACTTATATCAATCAGATCGAGTTAGGATTAAACAAATTGAAATTTAAAGAAATCCAAGCCCTGGCCAGGTAGCTCAGTTGGTTAGTGTTACCCCCATACACCATGGTTGCATTCCCAGTCAGGACACATACAAGAATCAACCAATGAATGCATATATAGGTGGGACAACTGATCATTCATATTCTCTCTCTCTCTCTCTCTCTCTCTCTCTCTCTCTCTCTCTCTCTCTCTCCCTCCCTCCCTCCCTCCCTCCTCCCTCCCTCTCTCTCTCTCTCTTTCTCTCTCTCTCTCTCTCTCCCTCCCTCTCTCTCTCATCAATAATTTTTTTAAAAAAATTCAAGAACTTAGTTCTAAACTTTGATTTTGGAGTTCAGTGGTTTTTGACAGTACAATTGGCCCTTGAAGAGCACAGATTTGAACTGTGCTGGCCCACTATATGTGGATTTTTCTTTTCAATAAATACGTAGTTGCCCCAGTCGTCGTCGTCTTCACAGATCCTCAGGAGCATATTAATTGCTTTTAAAAACAACTTTATAAAAGAATCCTTAAAATATTCTCTCTCATAGTACATTATGAATATAATCTGCTCATAATTATTTCATTTCCCTCTTATTGAATTTACTGTGTGTCATTGCTTAATAAAATTATGCAGATTTCAGGTATATAGTTCTATAATACATCAACTGTATATATAATATTGTGTGTTCACCACCCCAAGTTGAGTTTCCTTCTATCACCATTTATCCTCCTTTACCCTCTTTGGCCATCCCCACACCCCACCCCTCTTCCCTTCTGGTAATCGTCAACTGTTGTCTGTGTCTAAGAGGTTATTTTTTGTTTTGTTTTGTTTTGTTTTATTTTGTTTTGGTTAATCCCTTTATGTTTTTTACCCAGCCCCCAAATCCTTCTCCTCTGACAGTAGTCAGTCTGTTCTCTGTATCTATGAGTCTGTTTTTATTTTGTTTGTTAGTTCATTTTGTTCATTAGATTCCTTATGAGTGAAATCATATGGTACTTGTCTTTTTCTGACTGACTTATTTCACTAAGCATAATGCTTTCCAGGTCCATCCAGGCAGTTGCAAAGAGTAAGCTTTCTTTTTTATGGCCAAGTAGTATTCCCTTGTGTAAATATACCATAGCTTTTTAAAAATATATATCTTCTTGACTTTTTTTTTTTTACAGAGAGGAAGGGAGAGGGATAGAGTTAGAAACATCAATGAGAGAGAAACATCG